CTGGGGCTGAAGTGATGTGGTAAATGGTACAAAAGCTGTGGCTTCAAAGCAGAAAGCTGCTTTCAAACCTTCTAAGCAATCTTAAAGACTCTACCCATAGTAGGACGGCTACCACCATCATGACGCTTCACCAAAGGTGACATCACTACAAAAGTAGCAAGCAAATGAAAGGCAGCGTCTGCTGGTGCTGGCTGCACCAAAAAGCTGCCCCTGCTATTTCCAGAGATTACATAGCAAGTTAAAAATGTCACCCTGTGTGGTATTTATCCTTGAAGGCGGTGTGAGAGGTAGCATAGGAGCATGCAGCACACAGGGAGGTGGCCTAGCGAGGAAGCACAGCCGTGGCCGTTCAGTGTCACCAGGCATGACTGGTGCTGTGCTTTCAGGGCAGGGCCACTTGGGCACACAAATTAACCATTTTAAACTCCTTTCTTCTTCCCTCAACCTAATCTTCTTTGCAGTGTGTGTGTACTAAATCAGAACCCTGCCTCATTTCTGGCAGTGCATACCAAAGAGGCTAAAACTGGGGAGAAAGGAAAAGAATTCCCTTTTTTTTTCTTCCTTTCCAGCTTATCTGATAGGCATGCTCAGGCTTTACCCCTATATAGAGGGTTATTATACAGATGTTGCAATTCAGGGCAAGTAGTGTTTCCCTGTCGTATGCATTAAGCTTTACTTCACCATAGGGAAACTCACTGCTGCAGAAACTCACTTGAGAAATGGACTATGAGTTTCACACCCAAAGGTGTCTCGCCTTATCTCTCTGCTGAAGAGAAGCTGACTTGGACATTTTGGCCTCATTACAGGTGGTGAGCTGTGTCAAAGGCTGGAGAATGTCTCACGTGACACATTTGTGAACTCAGATTACACTTTGCTGGCAATACTGGGTGAAATATTAAGTATTGATGCTTACAGAGTGAAATTTGGAAGGTAATAAATATCGGGGATTACACAAAGCCTGCAATCTCAGCAAGAAGCTCAAGTGAAGCATGTTTAAATTAAACAGGCTTTAAAGAAGGGACCTCGTCTTCATGAAAGTCCATAAAACACCAGCGCCAATTTTGCTGCAATGTTAATAGCAGTAAGAACACCTTTAAGATCTAAATGAAAAGACGGCTACTTCTTCTGTCGGTGTTACCCTGAGACATCAGGATGTGGCAGGCATCCAGCTGTATGAAATGTGGGAAGCTGATAAAGACAGAAAGCCATTTATAACACTGTAATTTGGATCTAAGAAGATAAATGCACATATCTATGTGTTTGTATACATACATATATATCAACAGAGGCGCTCAATTTGTTTAAAAAAAAAAGTCCATTATACTAGTGGGAATTTTTGAAATAAAATAGGCTAATCCAGTGCAAACAGCCGCAAGCTGATCAAAGAAAATTTATACCTCACTTGCACAATTTCACAATAGAAAACTTTAAGAATAAAGATTTAAATACTCTTAAGCTTGAGAATTTAAAATCTACTCTGTTGAACAAATGCTGCTTTTCTGATACAGACCCGTTCTCACTACAAAGTAGCACCCAACTGCAGACAAACCATCAGTATCATCAAGGCTTTAAGATACTTGCAAAATTTAAGTTCTCTCTCTTTTCCCGTAGTATCACCTGTGAGAAGCCAGCTGTTCTGGTAGTTTTCATCAACAAGTTAAATATTTGCTAATGTAAATATTTTACTGTATGAAGATGAGGACAAGAAAAATGAAAAAAATATCTAAGCTTGGTGAAGAAATCTAATGAGAAGCTGTTCTCTGCTGATATTCTCAAAAGCTGTTACCACTCTATGCATTTCTTGATACTTTTTGTTTCTCCTGAGTAATAAGAATAAAATTAAACTATAGGAGAATATAGCAAGTTGCTGTGACTCTTTCCAACTCAAAAAAACCCCGAATAACTATTACAAATATTTTCAGATGACTTGGTAAGCAGGACAGCAACTAAGTACACAGCAAGTTTCATTTGCTATAGTCACTGTGATGTCTTACCAGATTATGTCTGTATCAACCTCCTGCAGCACCAGAATGATGTATGGTCAACAACAACCGGTCTGAATCAGCAAAACCCAGTTTATACTAGTGGGAGAGGCTTGGCATTTAAACTTGGCAAAGTATGGATTTTGGATCCATCCTATGCCACCGTTCTCTAACTGCTAGAGTACACTGTGCAGTTACACCTCAGGCTATTCATTTTATTAACTGTGAATTTAGGCCCCTTAAGAATGCAATCAGAAAACTCACAAGGTTAAAATACATGTTGTGAGATGCTTCCCCCACTTTGGCTGTTTCACACTGCCATGGTAATGCACAGCCGCCCTGGGTTCAGCACATCTGTCTCAAAAAAACTATGTTTATGGGTTTTCAGTACCACTGCAGCCGTGTAATGTAGAACAAAAAGCCTGTTCTCTTATGAATTACAGTCTCGCTCCTTCTCTTTAATGGTTTAACACAAAGAAAATGAATGCAGACATTACACTTTAGTCAACCAACCCTTTAGTCAATTGAATCCCTAGTGGATGAAATGAGTGTTCAAGAGCTCACATGAGATGTGTTCGCTTGTCCATTTTTCTCCTAGGTTGGCTCTGCCTCCCTCCATTTGTGGTCCTGGGACAGAATCCCAAGCACTCTGCTGGAGACACATTCATTTCCTAAGTGAAGATTTTTAAGACACCATCCAGAATGACCTGATTATTTCACTCAAATACACAAAAGTAAACAAGCAGACCGTGAAGATGCCAGTATTTGCAGCAGGGCCAGCTTCTGGCATACTTGCCTGTCCTGTACTACTTTGTTTGGCTCCTTTTAAATTAATGCTGCAATCACTTGTGTTTTGACTCTGTGAGATGTGGGACCTGACAACTCACATAAATCAGGATGTGGCCTCACCCTTGCATGCGATGTGACTGCAACATCAAAACGCTGTCACCTACGTGGCTGCTCGGAGGGCTTTGCTGGCAGGGTAACTAAGAAATTTGTGGGCAAAGGGAGGAGAAACAACTAACAGCTGTCCCTCAACTAGCTGGCAATGGAAGCAGGCATCAGATATAAAAATAAACTTGGTCTACTTCTCCCAGAATAAAGATGGAAAACTTAACGGATGAGGAAAGTCTATGAAAGCTTTTGTAATTTGAATTTTAGTGGTAAATTATGTCCAAATAATTACAGTCATCTGTTTCTGCTTTCCAGCTGATATGATTAATAAAGACTTCAATGCAGAAGCCAAAAAAAGTTGGTTAAAAAAGAAGGACAAGGGCAGGTCCCCTTCAGTGGCTGGGGTAGAAAATAATGGATCAAATTCAGAAATGGTTGTGTGATTAGCATTAGGTGGATATTAGAGCATCTAAAGCTTTATTTCTGCTCTGATTTTGGTCACAGATGCAAGCTCATCTTGTGGAAATTATTTACACTGAAATGAGCTTAAGCAAGGGCTTGCTTACATGCGAGATTAATGTGCACTAACAAGGAAGTGAATTAACAGCACAGCAGCCTCCCTGTGCTAACCCGCTATGTAGATCTGCAACCCAGAAGTTTGATTTTACTGTACAAAAAACTTAAGTTCCCAAGTTATTCTTGGAAATTTTAAAGAACAGTAGTAAACAATACTTAGGTATGATGAGACAGAAGCAATCCATGTGTGCCAGCTACCAGCTGGTAGCTGCCAAGTTCCTTGTAATTTCAGTATGAAGCACCATCTGGTTTGAAATGACAGCAAAATTTGGGGCTTAATTAATATCTTGTATGTAGGAACTTTTGTATCAACAAACAGAAGGCTGCTGCTATGTGACGACTATAGTAGAGCTAGCAACAGATATTTTTCAAAATATGTATTTAAAATAAATACTTGTGGAAAATATTGTGAATATCTTTGGGTATTAAAAACTGAAACCAAAAACCAAAATGACCTTTTCTTGTTCTGCATTATACCAGTACAGA